CCTGGAATGTCGCATTGTGGAACATTAATTTGAAAAATGAATTTGAACTGAATTTTCATATACAATGTGAAAACATAATCTAATACGTAAACTGTAGGTCCCAGTAACTGATACAGCTGAATTATTTGCTGATCACTAAGCATCCAATAATAAAACTAATTGTTGCTGTTAAAAAAAGATAATCATAAAAAGATCTAATGACTTCAATTGGTAATTTTCAAAAACAGAAACCTCTGGATTTAGCAGGCTTACAATTATGTGCATTTAAACATGAATAGCGAGTCAGCATCAAACAGGATGGGCGTGAGGAGCTTGAATTCTCGTGAAGATATGTGCCAAGTATTCTAGCTCTCCAGTTTTCAAATCTTCCATTTGTGGCCTTCAGAGAACAGATGTTGCACAAAAATACCCTCACTAGTTTTCAACAGAGAAGCCTACACACGGTTTGAAATTAACAAGGGCCCAATTGTTGTCAGCTCAGAAGCATGAGTATCCTTTTGAGGACCTTTACTGTTTCAAGTACTATTTCCAGCCAAGCAGTTTTAATGTTACCCATCACGACTCAGAGTGAGGAATCCAGACAGATAAACTTTCAGCCTGCTGAAATTATTTAATTTGAGCTTCTATGAAAACAAATATCTCTAGCATTATAAAGTTTTGTACAAATTTAATACATGGCTGTTTTCTTCATGTAAGGCAGCAAAGGTACATCAGATCTAACCACTCTTTGATCACCAATCTATTTCCTAGAGGTTACTTACCACTATTTTCTTAATCTTCACTGCAACTATCACTGCAGCTCAGAAATAGCCAGAGACATTACTTAACATTGTTTTTTTTTGGCTGTTCTAATTCAATTTGCTTTTCACTCTGTCTTTATTTGCTAATTATTTGACAGGTCTTAATTGTAAAGGCTACAACTCATTTTTTTAAAATAGGGAATGTTTGTAAAATGAGGTTTTAATTAAGCATTAAGCATTTTCAGTGCTTCTATTTTTTGAAAACCTCCCTTCTTTTAGGAACAAAAACAGAAGTTGCTGGAAAAGCTCAGCAGGTCTGGCAGCATCTGGGAAGAAACAAATCAAGAGTTCATGTTTCGGGTCCAGTGACCCTTCCTCAGAACTGCCTTTTTTTGGGTCTGGAATCACTTGATTGCTCCCAAACCACTCCCAACTGAAAAAAGGAAATAACTACTTGAAATTTTATTTTAAGAAAAGGACACCAGATCTAACCACCCTTTGACCACCAATCTATTTCCTAGAGGTAATAAAGCTCTGGTCCAGTATCTCTCACAAAGCAACCACAGTTGTTTGGTGTAAACCTCTGCTTGTGATGGCAAAACTAAAATTCAGATAGTCAGCTATCATAGACTGATTCAAAACCTTATGAATTAACCTGGATCCATAGATGCCTTTCAAAAGTGATGGAAACCAACGCCATTGAATTGTAATAGCTTTAGTTCTCGAGTAGCAACTACTCTGAAAACTTAAAAGATCAAATCATCTGAAGGATCAAGAACCACTGGATGTTTGGATACAAGTTTTTTTCTCCAGTATGTGAATAACTCAAGTACAAACAGTTCGGTCACTAATGGGACTGACATCAAATGTAAGGAAAAATTCAGGACAACACTGCAGTAGAAGTCCTTTACTGGCTCCAACCCCGCCTCTTTGACCTGTCTGTCTCCTCTCCACCTATCTTCTCTTTTATCCATCTTCTATCCGCCTCCCCCTTTCTCCCTATTTATTTCAGAATCCCCTTCCCCTCCCCCATTTCTGAAGAAGGGTCTCGACCCGAAACGTCAGCTTTCCTGCTCCTCTGATGCTGCTTGGCCTGCTGCGTTCATCCAGCTCTACACCATGTTATCTCAGATTCTCCAGCATCGGCAGTTCCTACTATCTCAGTACAAGTCAATATTTGTTTTGTGCACAAAGGCCACAAGAAATACTGTTTTCTATTTTCATCCACTATATTTGCAATTTAATGTATAAAAAAATTTCTGTTATCAAGAATGGCAAGACATGCATTTATGAATGGAGCCAGAAGATGTGGGTGAGGTCCTTAATGAATACTTTGCATCGCTTTTCACGAAGGAGAAGGACATGGTGGATGGCAAGTCTAGAGAGGGGTGTGTTGATATTCTAGGGCATGTCGATCTAACAAAAAAGGTGTTCCGTGTTTTGAAAAGCATGAAGTAAACAAGTCCCCAGGACCTGATGGGATCTATCCTAGAAGCAGCCACTCACCCAAGAAACGTGGGAGATGCACTGGTCTGAAGGTGAGCCGTTTCAAGTCCTCCCTCCCCAACATACACCTGGCAAATGTCCAAGCTATTGAAAATAAGCTAGACGAACTTAAAGCTAGACTCACCTTCAAAGAGAATTGAGAGACTGCTGTGTGCTCTGTTTTACACAGACATGGCTCACTCCTGCTTCACCTGGCTGTGCCTTATAACCTGAGGGTTTCTCAATTCACCGGATTGACTGCATGGCATCCTCAGGTAAGGCAAAGGGCAGAGGGGTCTGCCTCCTAATGAACACCTCTTGGTGCTTGGATGTGATGACCTTGGTGAGTTACTGCTCCTTCCGGACCTAGGATATCTAACGGTGAAGTGCCATCCCTACTACCTGCCTTGGGAGTTTACTTCTGCTACCCGAATAGCAGTTTACATCCCACCGTATGAGGAAGTGAAAAGTCCACTTAATGAAACACACACCGCATCAAATAGCCTTGAATACCCTGAGGCCTTGTTCATCGTGACTAATAACTTCAACAAAGCCAACCTCAAGAGCGTGCTACCAAGGAACCATCAACACATCTCCTGTCCCGCCAGAGGCACAAACACCCTTGATCACTGCTACACAACCATCCCCCAGCAGCGTTTTGATAAATCAGACCAGAAGGCTATGCTCCTTCTCCCAGCTTACAAGCAAAAACTGAAGTTTAAGGATCAGTACAGAAAGTCACACAGTGCTGATCTGAGGTAACAGATGAGCTCCTACATGGCTGCTTCGAATCGGTGGACTGGTTCATATTCAAGAACTCAGCGGCCAACCTAAACGAGTACGCACCACTGTCACAGACATCGTCAGTGTGTAAAGGACTGCATGCCAAAGAAGCTAATCCGAGTGTTCCCCAAACGGAAACCATGGATGAACTGGGGGATCCACTCCCTACTGAAATCCAGGTCTGAGGTGTTTAAGTCAGGTGACCCTGGCCTGTACAGGAAATCTAGGTACGATCTTCGCAAAATGATCAGAGATGCCAAGAGACGATATCAGATTAATCTAGAGTCCCAGACTAACCACACAAACACATATCGACTGTGGCAAGGCTTACACGATATAATGGGCTACAAAGCGAAGTCGAGTGGAATCGCTGACAACAATGCTTCTCCGATGAGCTCAATGCATTCTATGCTCGTTTTGAACAGAAGGTCAGCGAAATGATGTCACCCACCCTAACAGCCTCAGGTGCACCTGTACCCACAGTTCCCACGACAGACATCAGCTCAGCCTTCTCGAGAGTGAACCCATGGAAAATGACTGCCCCAGATGGAGTCCCTGGCCATACACGCAGATTCTGTAGTGTACCATTCCCAAAAATATTGTGCATCGTATAGATGTTTACTTCAGGCATTTAGAGATCTAAAGTAATTAGTTAAAGCACATTTTTGGTTTAGAAGAAATCTTCATGTAATTTTCTATAGAACTATTTCTTAGGAAACATAATGGCAACCTGTGTCCCTTTTTTTAAAAATACTAACAGAGTTTTTGCTTGGAGATAGCAAGGACTGCAGATGCTGGAAGTCAGAGTCAGTAAAATGTGGAGCTGGAAGAGCACAGCAGGTCTGACAGCATCGAGCTGCAGGAAAATCGACATTTCGGGTTGGGACCCTTCATCTGGACTAGGGAGGGGGAAGGGAGCCCAGAAATAAGTTAAGGGAGGGGATGGGGCTGGGTGCAGGTTAGTGGGATAACGAAAGGTGGATGCAGGTAGGGGGTTGTCGAGATTGGTCAATGGAAAGGGTGGGGCGAATAGGTGAGAGGGAAGATCGACAAGTTGTGTCAGGTCAAGGAGGTGGGGATGAAAGGGAGGGCTGGACAAGGGATTAGGCCAGGGTTGGGGAGATTTTGAAGCTGGTGAATTCCATTTTGAAGCCATTGGGCTGTAAGCTCCCGCAGCAGAATATAAGGTGCTGTTCCTCCAATTTACATGTGGATTCATTGTGACAGTGGATGAGGCCCAGGATGGACATGTTGCCAAGGGAGTGGGAGGGGGAGTTGAAATGGCTGGCGACCAGAAGGTGGTGTTGATTGGAACGTACAGAGCGCAGATGCTCTGCAAATCGGTCACCGAGTCTGCGCTTGGTCTCTCTGACATAGACGAGACTACATCGGGAGCAATGGATGCAATAGTTCACGTTAGAAGCCGTCTTGCTTGTATATGCCAAGTACGTGTAATGTTGGTAAATCACCTAGGCTAGCACTAATTGCATCACAATTTTTTAAAACAGGAGCCCACTAACAACAAGGATTACAATTCCATGCAGAGTACAAGTACCTAAATTCAACCAACAACTTTGAAAAACACTATTTTCAACAAATCAAACTGCATAGTAAGATCTGACATTATGTTTCTTTTACTCAATTCATAAGGTGCTTGCCAGACAGGAAATTGCCAATGTAAGAATTTTTAGTTTTCCTCTAAAATGGAGTTATTGCTCTTTTGAATTATAGGGACTTGTTAATAAAAAGTAACTGAGCACGTACACATACAAGGACAGCATAATTCATAAATCTGCCTCACTGGATACAGTACAAAGTACTTTGGGATTTCATCTGTTTTGTTTATGCTTAAAAAACTGACAAGGAAAAACTTCAAACATTTCTGAGATTTCCATCAACTGTGCAATCTGTTAGCAAGCAAACACATAAACAATGAAGTAGGAACTACCTACTTCCTTCATTTTGATGATTCATTTGTATTTGGAAACTCACCTCAATCTGGACAGGGATTCCATCATAGATCTCCCGGCTTGGCATCTAATGCTACATCATTGTAATAATGCAGACCACTTTGTATCTGAAAGGCAAAAACAGACAACTTTATGCATGACCCTACAGCAAATGGAATTATCTCTAACGAAGAGTCATCCCTTATCTTTGTCTCGACCATTTGGCATCTTAGCAACTTTTATTTTTAATACAGATTTCCAGTATCTGTAGATATTCTCGACATTCTTCGTACATAAGCAGCAGCTCAGGGTACTTCCAAGTTTTTTCTAATAACATCCAAAGTCAGACCATAAGATGCAACAGCAGAACTGGGCCATTTAGCCCATCAAGATTATCAGATCATAGCTGATCTGATAATCCTCAACTCCACCTTCCTGGCTTATCCCCTTAACTTGGTTATTTCCTTGATCAGCCTTGAATGTACTTAAAAACACACCCATTCCAGTAAAGAATTGCACAAATTCATTACCCTCAGAAAAGATTTTTTTCATCTCGGTCTTAAATGGGTCTAACAGCAATTCCTGCAGTAGATCTGGTATGAAACAGGACTAGTTTCATTCAACCTTTCATGGAATCATAGAATCCCTACAGTGTGGAAACAGGCCCTTCGGCCCAACAGGTCCACACCAGCCCTCAGAGCATCCCACCCAGACCCATCCCCCCTATCACCCACCTAATCTACACATCCCTGAACACTATAGGCAATTTAGCATGGCCAATCCACCAAGCCTGCACATCTTTGGACTGTGGGAGGAAACCAAAGCACCCGGAGAAAATCCACGCAGACACGGGGAGAATGTGCAAACTCCACACAGTCAAACAAAGGTGGAATCGAACCCAGGTTCCTGGCACTGTGAGGCAGCAGTACTAACCACTGAGCCACTGTGCCGCCCCATGGATCATTACTGACAATTACAATTTTCGCAAAATGATCCGGGGTGCCAGGAGACGATACCAGATTAATCTAGAGTCCCAGACAAACCACACGAGCACATATCAACTGTGGCAAGGCTTACACTATATAATGGGCTACAAAGTGGAATTGCTGACAACATGTTTCTCCAATGAGCTCAATGCATTCTATGCTCATTTTGAACAGAAGGTCAGCGAAATGATATCAGCCCCATGATGACAATTTGATCATTACTGACAATGTAAAGAAAGGGATTCCGACGTTTCGGCAACTTGGGGTCCCTATACAGTTTGCCCAGCCCTGTACAATAACGATGCAAACATCCAATAATCATCTCCCCAAGTTGCTTATCTAGTCATCAAGCTTAGGCTGCATGCTTTTGTGGAACTGCTTTTTTGAATTCCTTGTTAAAAATAATACTGACTTTTTAAAAATAAGTCAGCTTCACAGAACTAAAACCAAAAACCTCTTTAGAATCCAAGTGCCTGAACAATAATAATATATTAAACCTTTATCACAGGTTATTAGCATTTGTTCAATGGTGTGTCAGGAGTAACTTCCAATGGTGGCATCTTATTGAATAGTTCTTGCAGAGCTCAAGCTAGGCAGTCCCCAGTCAATTTGTGCTGTCCTGCCAAGACTCACTTGCTTCAATGGATGGTTGGATTGTAGAGAGTCATCTCTCAACAATTCTTGATCAGTAAAGGAATCAAGGATTATGGGGAAAAGACAGGAAAATTGATTGAGGAATGTCACATCAGCCATGGTGCTATTGAATGGTGGAGCAGGCTCAAGGGGCAGAATGGCCCACTCCTCTTTCTATTTCTTATGGTCTTATAGGTCACTAATCTTGTATTTTATTCTTTCATGGGAAACAGGTGCTGCTAGCAATGCCAGAATTTGTTGCCCATTCCTAGATGCAAATTGAATGGAATACCCATTCCTTTCAAAGGACAATTAAGAATCAACCATATAGCTGTGGGTCTGAAGTTACACACAGGCCAGATTTCCTCACATGAAGGGCATTAGTGAAGCAGATGTGTTTTTCCAGCTGTCAATGATAATTTCACAACACTATTACTAAGACTTACTTTAACTTCTAGATTTCTTTTGTAATTGAATTTGTATCAGTGAAGCCATTAACCAGGGCTACTGTATCTCTGTGGTCACCAGACAAGCTAAACTCAAAGAAGTTACCAGTTTTTCGCAAGATAAGCTGAGAAGTAAGGGTCTTGAAACCTGGCCTTATCAATAACCCTGTTCATGTTGATGATGTACAATACGCAGCTGTGATTGACACACAGCTGACAATTCTCAATGCGGACACAGCTGCGTTACTCAAAGTGAACTCCTTAAAGAGAAATATCAAACATTCTTCTGGCAGGGAAAAACCCAAGAGGCAACACATGAGCATGGAGTATGTTTTTAACAAAAAGAACCAGCTCAGTCACAATGACTGAAATTTTCCATAGAAGCTCAGAGAGAATTCTTATCCTTCACTTGTCAACAAGCACGGGTCCGATTAATCTCATCCTGCATCTACGTCCGAAACCTAGCTCCATCTCGGATGCCAAGAATCAATGCTATGCTGCCAGCAATAGAATTACCAGCACCAAGGAACTGTACCTCCTGAGGGTCTTCAATGCAAGAACGGCTATCAATCACAGATTAGCCAACATGGATAGGGATCAAGGAATCAACAAGAGGAATTTATGTACAATGTTCAGTTCTAGGTAGATTGAGCCAACAAAGGAGAATCACGGGAAAGCTTGCTCAGGTATGTTGTAAGTTGCATCGAGCTAGGCTATGAGACAAAAGTAGTGAAACGCACAAGGGCAGAACTGGAAAAAACAAAGAACTTCCAGAGAATTGTAGGAATTAAGACTACAGATAACAGGGAAGATCAGGGAGGGATGTGAACAAAGGTTGAGAATTTTAAATTTAATGCAGTGCATCTTGTAAACATTATGCAATGCAGCCACTGTGCACTGGTGCTGAACTGAGTGAATTTTGAATGTGGTAGATGGGTTGCCAACCGAACAGGCTACTTTGTCCTGGATCGTGTCAGGCTTCTTGAGTCGTTGGAGTCACATCTACTCAAGCAAGTGAAGGATATTTTATCACATTCCTGACTTGCATATCTTGCAAAGGATAGACAGACACTGAAGACAGGAGGTGAGTTACACAGCAAAATCTCTAGCCTCTTCTGTGCTTAATTAAGGAAAACCAGCATGGAATTGTTAAAAAGGCAAATTATATTCAACTAAAAGGTTGTGTTCAAAGCCAACCACCACGAGGTGCAGCACATGGCGTGACTGCACAGAATTAGAGCATTGCTATGTCACTACAAAGTGATTGAACGCCAGCTTCAAAAATGAAACCACTTTGTAAAATCACACAATCAATTTCTGACACTAGAAACAGAAGATAAATTGAGATTTTAAAACTATTCAGGAAATTAGAATTCGACTTGCAGCCCTGAAACTAGTAGGCAGAATTCAAAACCTCAGCCACTTGACAATTTCAGCCATTGATTTGCTTTACGCTTTTATTGGTGACTCGATGAATGATCAAACTCTGTGCATGAGAACAGGGTGGCCAATCAGGAGTAGGTTCAGAGGAGCAGGAAAGCTGACGTTTCGGGCCTAGACATACTCCATGCTCATGTGTTGCCTCTTGGGTCTACGCCTGAAATGTCAGCTTTCCTGCTCCTCTGATGCTGCTTGGCCTGCTGTGTTCATCCAGCCCTACACCTTGTTATCTCAGATTCTATAGCATCTGCAGTTCCTACTATCTCAGGAGTAGGTTTAGGTTAGTATGATCTCAGGTTTCTGAATGACTAAGTGAAAATCACTGCTCCATGAATAGGACTTAGCAACAAAGCGGGGATTATTATGTAGGGCAAACTTTGGTCAAAATCTTAGAATTCACTACAGGAATTCCCTCCAGCAGTTCAAGAAGGCATCTCAAGGACAACTCAGGACAGGCAATAAATGCTGGCCAGACCGCGATGCCTACATTCTACAAATAAATAAAAGAAAAATTCCATTTCCATTCTAATGGACTAATCATTCAAGTGAAAGTAAACAACTACCTCCACTTACAGATAGTGTTAGTGGAGGATAACACACTTGCACACTACTGCTCCCTCCAAACCTTGGAAGAGCTTCCAATACTCATTCAATGTGCTGTAAAATTTATGAAACATATCGAAAATCTTGGGCACAGAATGAGACAACTGCCCCAAAAATATCAATCCAGTCTACCCAAAGTAGCAATAGATATAAAACAAAGAACTGTGGATGCTGGTAATCTGAAACAAAAGCAGAAATTGCCAGAGAAACTCAGCAAGTCTGGCAGCATCTTTGGAGAGAAAGCAGATTAATATTTCAAGTCCACTAACCCTTCTTCAGAACTGCAAGGACGGAGAAGATAAACAGAAGAATGCAATTCTAATGGAGATGTAAGAACAGAGACCTAGGTTGTACAAATTATTGAAGGTGGTTAAAAAAGCATACAGGATCCTGGATTTTATACATAAGGACATAGGCTACAAAAGTAAAGAAGTAATGATGCATATTTTTAAAACACTGTCTTAACATGTTAGAAATTGGGGTCTCTTTTAAAATAATTTTCTCTTTGTATTCAGTATTTAGCATCTGCTGCATAGCAAGAGACTTCATTTAATTCTGTTACAGAAGAAATTAACCTTCCATACACATTAACAAAAGATTTATCAGGCACCACGCTATTCGATCCCAAATGAAGCGTTTTGGAAAATACATTTTTGTTCTTAGAAGAAATGAAAACTAATGCTCAAATAGAGGCAGACAAGGGTACAATCATCCTGGCACCATGAGCAGCTGCCCATGATCACTGGCTGAGAGAGCTTAGACAGGTGATCGACACAGCATAGATTACCAGCCCCAAAAATATCAGCGGTGTGCGGTATCACAGACATCAAGGCTTTATTTTGAGAAGTTGGATACAGCAATCTTAGATTGTAATTAAATGTGTTGAATAATTCTCAAGTAACCCAACAGCTTGGGGCAGCACAATGGTTAGCACTACTTCCGCACACCATTAGGGACCCAGGTTCGAATCCAGCCGTGGGTGGCTGTCTTTGTGGAGGTTGCACTTTCTACCCGTGTCTG